ATAATGGTCATCAAAGTGGATCATTAGTCTATACCTAACACAATTCTAAATAGGTGAGATAATATGCAAACGCCAATGTGCAGTGACATTTACATCGAAATATGTACATAAGAATGGCAATAGGTGGCAACACTTTAAACCATGCTTTTTATACAGAAAAAAGGGTAATTGTCTCTATGTCGTCACCTAGCAGAATAAATAAATGAGAAAGAAAGAGATAACTATTACCGGTAATCATCCTCAACGGGCGTCATTATATATAGTAGTATACATGAGTATAGTATAGTGGTTACAGCTTCCTCCACTACCAAGTTGTTGTTTGTTATATGATTAGGTCGACTCACCTCTCCCTAGGGATAAACATTCAAATATGTTGTTATCATGTTCACGAAACTCGTGAGCAAAATCGTTTGTACCGGAGGCACTAACGAAAATAATTTGAGCCTTCAAAGTAACGCCCTTGCAAAATCTCTTTTTGTCCCTGCTAATTCGGGCCACCCTGATTGGCCACTACTGAGAGTTCAAATTAACCAGTATGTGGCAATTCATTCAAACAGAAAAGTATTGGACTGAATATACGCTTTACGGTTGCCATAGCCACACATACCATTGTAATGGTTAAGTCGAGGTTTTCAAAACTTTTTGGGCTATGAACCCGTTTGTGAAACCTATTTTTGACGTAAGCCCATCCTCTGCCTTATCCAGTTTGTGAAACCATGGGTTAATCCGTCAAAACAAACTCACTCTTTTTATAATTTCCTCCATTTAATGTATTGAAATATTGATAATCCTTTATCGGACAAACGCACATTGTTGCTGCTCCAGTTTTCGTTGTTGTAGTTTAGCTTGTCATAATCGAGAAAGGGTGTTTGTCTTTTTACTGCGAATTTCTCCATTTACCTTTTCAACATGGTTGAAATGCTTACCAGTCTGTGCTAATATTTTGTCCGAAACAATCTATTTTAAAAGATAAACAGAAATTTATTGAACCAAATAAAATTATCTCATAAATCATATGTAGTTACGCTCTCCTCTCCAAATATCTTGAATTTATCAAATTTTATGCTAAAAGCTCATTCAAATCACTCCCCAATTTCAACAGTATCTCATGCATCCATTTATTGCTTTATACTAGGCGTTTGCAACCTGCGCCCCACAAGTAAACATGTGCGACACGCGGAGAAGCGCCACTTTTGAATGGTGTGTGGCCAGCGGAAAGAGTTTATATTTTAATCTAGTATGTGCGAGTAATTCAATTTTGTTTGCATTGCAATGTGAGCTTATGCAAAGCAAACAACGCATGTCACAAGATTAATAACTAAAATTATTGAGTCTGTAACTACTAGAAAACTTATGTTAAGTCGAGGTGCGGGACATGGTTTTACACAGTTATTTGTATCTGGTTCTCTTATATTAAAGGTTGCACAGTGAATGCACAACCCTGATTTTTGTAAAGAAAACATTTGTAATTGTGCGGTTTGTTTTTCATAAATAATTTCGTGAACAAAGTTACGATTTCAAGCTGTAAGATCCAGGGCGAATCCACTTTCACCGTGAAATACCAGGTACGGTGGCAGTATGATTCTATCAGCTCTGATGCATAAAATGGCTGTGATCTGGGATTTAATGGTTACGGTGATGTGATAGCTGGATTTTTGATTTTCTCTTCTGGAGGAACCCCGATTCGTCGAATCCAAGGCATCAGCTCTAATACATGAAAATGCTGTGATCTGGGATCCACTAGTTTTGGTGATGTGATAGCTGGATTTTTCTTTGGTACTCATTGCAATTTTTTCTGAATTTATCTGCAGGGGAAACCAAATTCGTCGCAGTTGTATACTGATGATTGTGCTGTGATATCATTGTCTTTATCATACTTTCGTTCTCGCCAAACCAATTGCATACTTTCTCCTCTGAACATGCCATAGCCATCTCCAATTTTGCTTTTTAAATTTTAATCACGATGGGAGGACAAATACTCTCCAGGTTCTGAAAAGTTCCGACTTTTCTCCCCGACAGGTACAACATATCTCTGACGGCAGTAGTTCCTAAACCACGACCCGCTCACGATTCAAAATGGGCCACCGAACTTGGGTGAAACAGTCCAACACTTTGTGTTTTTATCTTTAAACGTTCTAGATACCTGCAATTGTTACGTCATTATCACAGTCCAAGCATCTACTGTATATTTGTACCAATTCATTTTACGGTTAAAATTGCGGCGCTCCCCGCGAATATCCTTCCGCTTCCAACTTTAGCCCCCGGTCAATCAACTTTGGGAACCAACATATATTTTACAAGCCTAAAAGAATCTGTGATTTATGCTTCCAGCTCAAAGACTATCTGCAGTGTGATAATTGGGTTTGTACATGGCGCTAAGCGTTGATGTGATAGCTGGATTTTTCTTAATTGCTTTTTTTACAATTTTCTTGACTTTCTCTACAGAGGAAACCCCAATTCGTCGCAGTTGTAGTTGATAATGGTGCTGCGATATCATTGTCTTTTATCGTACTCAGGAAACTAATTGCGTACCCTTTCTTCCGAACATGCAAGGCCAATTCCGATTTTGCTGGCTTTTTCAGCGTGGCGGGACAAATATTTATACTGCCAAGAATCTTGAGGACTTTTGTCCTGAAAAGCTCCGACTTGCTTTTCGGATACTCTCAAACAAAAATAGGTGGTTCAACACCAATTCCCAACGAATTATGTTTGACTAACGAGGTGTATCACAGTATATTAAAAACGACCCAGGAATAACAGTTATTATGATAAAAGTGTTTTGCATGTCATAGTGAATTTAATTGTAACAAAAATGTATTTTTCCATAATTTTTACCTTATCGTATTTGCCCCACAAAGGGGCGCGCAGCCTAGATTTTTAAAAACGGGGGTTTCAAAACCGGAAATTTCCATTTTTTCTGAAACTGTAACCGTGGATACGCGTTTGTTAAAACAGTCAACTTTTATAGCATATACCGACTTTTCTACCATTTATCCATTAGTAAATTCAGTTTCAAATACACAAAAGTATCATTTCTAGATACAATGGTTCACCTAATAAATAACAAACTGAAACCTTCATTACAAACCAGCACACACATACCAATATCTTTTACATCCTGCAGCACGAGGCTTATTAACCAGAACATTCCCATGGACTAGCAGTGACAATTAGACTTTTTTACACAGTGAAACTCTCAAGTGACATTTACAGAACAGCAATTACCAAAAATATCGTTTAAAGAAACCTATCGAGCAATCAAGTACTGGTCATCAGTAATTTACTTTACTTAGAATACTTTTTTAATTGCCCATTTTCGGTTGTAAACTTTCAATTGCAAGCAAGGCAGTAAAATCCTTACTAAACAAAAAGACAATCACTTTTGTTTTAGGAGCACGGTGACAAATAGAGCATTTCAGACATTAAATCTAATGTAAATCGTCAAAACTTCGAATGTCTACAGCACACATTATACTTACTATGTTGAAAAATTCGAAAATATATTGAATACTCACTGAAGTTAACAATTATTTTAACTAACGAACAATTATTTTAAGTTATTTTCCCTAACTTCCAAATAAATCAAACTTAATCATCATATGAGCTTGGTTGGATAAATGCAAGACAAGTGAACCACCATCATATTCAATATCACTTCGTTTTAAATTGCCAACCAGCCTTAAAAATTCACTCATGATATTTTAAAAGCATATGTTAGAGTTCTATTTAGCGTTATGGCGCTGAAGAGTATGTCAAATGCTGCCCAAAAAATTATAAAAAAAAACCTTGAGTTTGAGAGTTTTGCACCTAATAGAAGGTTAAACAGTAATTATAACTATTTAATTTTAATGTTCGCTTAACTTGGTTAAAGACGTTGCTGTCTTTTTCATATCATGCAAGTGATTTATTTACTATCAATACTATACAAAAAAATTTCAATTTTAAAGTTTATTCACGTCTTCAGGGTGGAGATGGAATGTTTCTGCAAAATTTTTTTATATTTATTAATGAAAAGTTGGAAAATTGTTGAATCGTTGGCTTTATGTTCAGAAATATTATTTATCCGATTACAGAATAACTAAAATGTTATTAAAGAAAATTGCATAATTAGTACCACTATGAAAGCAAAAAATTGTCGATTAGTCTAAAACATTCTATTTTGTCCCTAAATTAATGAATCTGCATTATTAAACATGAATCATTTTAGATGTATTCATACATGAGCAAACTTGGAAACCTTTTGAAACAATTGTAATCCTCTTTAACATAACATTTTAATGGTTTCTAACCTTTGTCTATTTTGGAACTTTTTTCCCATTTCTCACTGCATAAAAACTACTTTATTTATTACAGCTTCATTGGATCCTTAACTAGTTATGTGCACTAGTCGCTCTCCCACATTTGTACGGTTCATGTAGTTTATAATGTATAAATTATTATTATTTTAATAATAAATAATAATACAGTCAATTCGAAAGACTTGTGACGTGTCCATATATTTGAGCACAGCTCTCTTGTCATTTAAATCATCAAACTAAGCAACAAACTCACCCCTATAATGTTATGCCCGGGCCGACTGCCCCTTTGGTCTCCTCTAGACACGCCACTGCAGGCAGAGAAGTGTGTTGAATAACGTGTCGCGTGAACCTTAGAAAAGGATAATTATTCCAAATGATGTTTTCTTCGCTTCCTAGCACAATTGTTCCTTCACCCAAACCTAACGTGGATCTGAAGCAAAGCTACTAAACTACAGTCATACTGAACTTGTTTTTCTTTAGAAATTCTCTCTCTTATATACTTGCCCTAACCCGTGATATTAATAGGTATGGTACGCGTGGTTATTTTATGCATGGGTAAATAATTTTTTTGGTTCATTTCGTTTTCTGTTAGTTTCCCATAAACTGAAATAAACAACAACAAAGAAAACCCACAAATGATCGAATCAATATGTATCTCATGACTGGTTATATACAGAAATCACATCGAGACAGCTATGAGTTTTATTTTCTGAGCAAAAAGTTTCAATAGACAAGGTGACGAATTTCAAGGCATGGATTGATAATAGTAAAGGAATAATATATAATAAGCAAATAATGAAAGCAAGAACTCTTTGTCGTTTATATCATTCAGTCCGTCAACAAAGTTCTGGTAGGTTTTGATCTGGTTTATATTTCACAGATGACACCGTGGATTGTCCAGGATGGTGCGCCATTGAGCAATCCACTATTACCAAGATCGTTCATTACCCTGACAACAATATTTGTTTGCAATGCATCGGATGAGGGATAACCAAAAATCCACACTTCTTTTTCTATAGGGAATGACACTCCACTTGACAGCGAAAGCAGATTGCTCTGTAACAATTAAATAAATAAACAGTTGGTTGAAATGCAACTGACATAGTAAATGAAGATATAGTAAAGGTATTCATCATAGACGAGGTAAGGTAACTACATAAATATGGGTAAAAACTAAACTTTACTCGATAGCCACACGGATTCTTAAGAACAGCTGGTTCCGAGATCTTCGCAAGCCGTTAAACGAAATGACGCGGACGCAACTAAGCGCCACAGAGTCTTAATTCAGTGATTTACTCGACTTGGAACTCGCGTGAACCGTGACTTGTGACTCGAAGTTTGGAGATTTAAACCCAGCACTGTTAAATACTCGAAAATTACACAAACACTTGACCTGATGACTATACTTCATTCCTGTCCAGATGTTGATGAATCCCCAACCAGCAGGGAGCAGTGTGTGTAGATAGGAGACCAGCAACTGGTAATTCGTGGGGTCATACATATTTGCGGGTTTTCCATTGTTCGTTGATTTGCAAATCGATTGAGCGTCATTGAAGGTGACGTTGCTTGTACCATACATCACTGCTCGGAAGCATTTGGAATTGTATGTGACGTCACATTTAACTAAAAACAATAATATTGGTATCATTGAATCTTTTGTATCAAAATTTCAGAATATTTTAACAATCGGGATTAAGATTTTGTTGATTTTCTTATTCAATGAGACTTTCTCTAAAAATAGAAAATTTTGGAAACACTGTAATCTATTATTTTCGGAGAGAGGAGTCTATAAGACGAAAAAACGACTAAACAAATTTGTTTCAAATGTCATAATAGCTATCAAGTTTAGATACATGATTGGTGAGCGAAGTCGTAACCGACTAGGGGTTTCGTTAATCACCCAGTGACAACTCGGGGTTCAATACTTGGATTTTCCAGTAAATTAAATACCAATGCTTTGACGGGTGTGGAATATTATATAGTCAAATTCTAAATCAAAAAACACAAATATAAATTACTTTCAGCTTTTTTCTTTTCTTCAAGACTCTTCTGGATCAATCTGGCGATTTCTGTGATTAAATGACATATTTTATTTGTGCGAAGGGGAAGCGTTTTGAATCAGTTTTCATCATACAGTAATATATTGTCCACAGTTTTTTGTTCATCGACGACCATAACAACTTTGTAACCCTTGTATAAGTTAACTATCTTACACGCCGAGAATATTTTTGCGCCATCACGTAATTATTATCATGAAGTAGGGCGAACTCACCAGATCCATCGTCTTTCTGGATAATAAATAAAAAATACAGATGATTAGTAAAGTGAATATAACACGTAAGTTATATTAGTTGCGTGAGATGCAGAAGTCGGATTGAAAATTGGGATAGATAATTCAGAAAAAAATATATAGGAGCTCCATGAGTATTAAAAATAGCAACATATTTTCACCTTGCAATCGCCAACTTGGACGAGTTTCCCATTCACGATCTTGGAAATGCAGGATCCAGCTGTCAAAAATGAAACGTGAAAGTTTATTTTGTGCCAATAAATATAGGTTTTGGTGGGGTGTGATATTTTTTGAAATGATTCAGGGGTGCTCCCGAAGTATGCAAACCAAGATGGCGGACATCGGAACGTAACAGGTTAGGGTTAGGCGATAATTTTTTTCCAATTTCCCTTATTTTAGTCCTACCAGGTACCAGAGGTAAAATACAGTATTGCAACTTTGTAACATTTATTTATTAATTGTATTCGGAACAAATCTTACCCGGAACTTTTAGGTCCGCAAGCAAGCCACAGATGAGAGAGATAAAGAAAAGTATTTTGAAGAGGTCCATGTTTGCTTCTAGGAAGGTTTGATAACGCAACTAAATGCTTAGCTAGGAAGTGAATATCTGTAAAAATATTCAATGGTATCATAGGTTCAGTCAGCACTGCCATAGTTATCTGTATTAATCAGCATTAAGTACTCCCGAAGTGTGTGAACCAAGATGCTATTACGAGTTCGGGGACTAGCCAAGTGACTCCCGTAGAATTTGCACCTGAGATTATGGCCCAACCCTAACCTGGTACACATACTACGTTCCGGTGTACGCCATCTTGGTTCACATACTTCGGGAGCTCCCGGCATTTTTCTGGTATTTGCCCTAAGCAAGATTTTTGGGAAAATGCAGTAACGCATAGGAGATGTACTATATAAGTTGGAGCGCCACCTCAAAAAAACAAAAGGAGCTGGAAGGTTTCTGATTTTAAAGTACATGGCTCGAAAATTTGGATAACCATGCATGGGTTGCGCGTGACCCAACGAACTAGCCTGGAAATTATCAATCGTACGTTGCCTTTCTGACGACTAAACACCATTCGGACAACCTTTCATTAAAACTTCTTTCCGGCACAACTATCACATTCTTGTTAATTTATAATTACTGCGGTATTCATAAGTTCTTCTGACTATTTCTTCAAACCGTCTCGCTATTCAAGCATTTTGTCACTAACGCCTTCTAATTCAATCGCTCTATTTTACGCAACATCCATTTACGTCATTTCCCGTTGCTACATAAAAATTTACATCGATTTGACTGAAACTGAAATTTATTCGCAATGAGTTTGCATACTCATTTTGCATTTTCTCGACATGAAAATTTTATGGGCAAGTTCATAAAGTAAAAATATAGCTTTATAAAATTGTCTTTAACAACCGCCGCTCAAACGCTTCTTTTATTAAAAAATTTAAGATTGAAATATCTTTAAAATGTTAGATCACATTCCGGCCTTTGAAAAAGTTCAAAAATATGAAAAGAAGACCGTCCATATTTGTAGCTCGTTTATAGAAAAGAAAAAAAAATGAATAAGCGGTGACCGTACATTTGAACCCATGTGTATATCCGCGGGTTAAATCTATATGCGGGTGCTAACATCCATGGGTTAGGGTGAGTATGGGTTCAAATAACCGTGGGTGCAATCATTGAACTGGAAATACATAGAACGATCTTCGCTTTTGTTTTGCGTTGTCTCGCCGTCGGATCAATTGATTGCCGCCATCTCGGCATTTATGCTTCCAAATTTTTTTTGCGTTGCATATGGTTTTGGCCAGTATTTCGTCTATTTTAGTACCCAGTTCGCCGCATGTGGATGTAAATGCGACACTGTGTGGGTATTCAAATATAATTATATTCGAGTTGGGAATTTATAGCCCGATGTGAAAAAATTTGATTGTTCGGGCGATTACACAATAGATATAAGTGGAAACAATTATTTTTGCCTGATATCATTAAATTGCAATTTCCTCCACGGGGAAACTTTCACCCAAGTCTTGGGTACAGTGCAAAGCGCAGCTCCCGTAGTCTGTGTACCAGGTTGGGGTTAGGCCATACTATTATTCTAATTTTTCTTATTTTAGTTCATTTTACGATATCGGGTACTGTGTGTGTTAGCCAAGTGAATATGTCCTTTGGTCCCTTTTACACACCTTGATGTAAAGTAGGCGAACTATATTAGTTACCTCCATATTGATACACACACTTCTAGAGCGCCCTCCAGTTTTATTTATATTTATTCATAGCTCGGGTACTACGGAACTACACGCAATGATATTGAGATCGCCACGCAAAATACTTGAGGCGGTAAAATATGGTCAAATTCAGGTGAACGGGGAAGCGATTCCGATAAGTCATCTCGGCTAATGTTCTGTGGTCGTTTTTGTTCGCTTTAGACTGATACGTTGGCTATATTATTAACCACAACTTGAGCAAATTTATAAAACTGCCAAAATTAGCACCGTATGTTGGTGTGGGATATATTGGCGTTTACTGTATAATAAATAATCGATTTCTGTCAAATCCCATGAGAAATGCATTACGCGACTAGGAAAAGTTGGAAGCCTATCGTCAAAACGAGAAAGCGTTCAAATGATCCCGCGGAAACGAGAGAAGCGCACTCTATTTATATATCTCGGTAGGTGCAATAATATGCAGATGCAATTGTCGTGGGTTCAACTGTAATGGAACCGAATAAGCTATCCCAATTCTGTTAGGTTAGGAATTTTATCGCTGGGCGGTTCCATACTAACCTGAAGTCATTCCATTTAAAAAACAACACGATAGCAGGTATCGAATGGACAGCATTTCGGTTTGTTCTCACCAAAATTGCAATATATAAATTGTTATGCTACGCCCACTAAAAGTATGTTAGGTACGAAACTACATGAGACCCTTTTATCAATTTCTAATACACTTTGACCTCGTTACTTTTTTTTCATCCCCTTCATCACCGGACTTATCAGATTTGTACCGTATTTACCCGCCGTGTTAACCAATATGGAGGAAAAATTATACGATTAATCTTGAAATATTGAGCGGTTAGAGCGTCATATGATAATTTAGTTACGAAACTTGACTCGGAAGGCCAAGGAAAAAAGCAGTTCGCGAGGGAAAGCCGACAATACGGCTTAATCATAAAGCTTATCACGGCCTCTCGGTTACCATTCCATGTCGGGTATGGGATTAGTTAGCCAGTTATTTGTTTCAGATGTATGGAATTGATGTTGGAGGAAGCCGTAACCGATCTCACCCCGTTTTGTTAATTTTGCTATATTTACCTGTTAGAATGGTGAAAGAAACACATTTTTATGAGCTAACCAAACCTGTTTCATCTGACAGACTAATAAAAATTGTTGAGGCCGTAAGCGATTTTCAAAATAGTTTTGCATTTACTTCATTTGCCTCGGCTTCATCTAGCTAGTACGTGCGTATGTGATAGATTTTCATATTCGCTTTGTATTTCATTTGCCTCTGCTTAATACGTTCCGTATGACTGTAAAAGATTTTCATAATCGCTTTGCATTTTATTTCCTTCATTTGCCGCTGTTTCATCTAGTCCGTGCGGCTGTGAGAAATTTTCATAACCGCTTTGCATTTCTCTCATTTGCTTCGGCTTCATCTAGTATGTATGACGTATGTGAGAGATTTTCATATTCATTTTTTATATCCTTCATTTGCCTCTGCTTAATCTGGTCCGTATGGCTGGAGAGATTTTCATAATCACTTAGCAGTTAGCATTTTATTTCCTTCATTTGCCTCTGTTTCATCTAGTACGCTGTTATGTGAGAGATTTTCATAATAACTTTGCATTTTATTTTCATCTGCTTTATCTAGTACGTGCGGCTGTAAGAGATTTTCATATTCGCTTTGCATTTCATTTCCTCAATTTGCCTCTGCTAAGTCTGGTCCGTATGTCTGTGAGAGATTTTCATAATCCCTTTGATTTTCATTCATTTGCCTCTGCTTCATCTAGTTCAGCCATGCCCTCTCAAAATGCATTCTGGGGACGCAAATTTCATCTCGTTTTTTCCACGGAAAGCACATTAAAAATATGTTATACAACATGAATTACAGTTTATTTTTTGTGCTACACGATCAATATAAATTTGCTATAGATTTTCTGCTTATTCATATTATTAAGCAATTTTTGTTACGGTTCATGAACGCACAGTTAAACCCACAAGGGCGCTGCTGCGTCATTTATTACTTCATAGATATTTTGTGATACTTTTGAACGTAGTAGAAGTTTAATTCTTCGTCTATCTCTATAGCGAAACCTGAATTTTTATTATTACTTATCGATCACGATAAGTATGTTGATAGGTATGTCTGACTGTTTGATGCAGGCGATATCTCACGAAAGCGAGGTTGCATCTGCTCCAAATTTTGCATGTGCATTTATCATATCTCGGACCAGAAGCCTATTGATTATGAATGAATTATGTTGATAATTAGCAAGTTATTAATTAATTAGTGATGGGGCACACGGTGTCACTATGGAGTAAGAGCGGATGAATCAAAACCGCAGTTTCCGCTATGGGGTTCCCCTAACTTTCGATCGATAAGTCTTCCGTCTCCGATCGATATTCTCGTTCTCTTCTTTATTACGAAGCGCAAAAAATGCAACAAAAATTGAGAAAACGAAAATATCGGTCAGAAAGACTTATCGATCGAAACTGCGGTTTCGATTCATGACTCTATAGTGACACCGCGTGTCTCATCACTAATTAATTAATTACTCGCTAATTATACGACATAATTCATCCAAAATCAATAGGCTTCTTGCCGAGATATGATGAATGCACATGCGAAATTTGGAGCGGATTCAACTTTGCCTTCGTGAGATATCGCGTTCATCTAACACAGGGGTGGCCAACTTATGGCGCATGCGCCAAACGTGGCGCATTGCATGATTAGAGGTGGCGCATTGCATCTTTAACCCTTTTTATGCCAAAATTGTTAATTGCACTTGACTTCTCCACGCCAAGCCGTTTTTTTTTGCGATTTACATGGTGACTTTTGATTGTACCTAAAATCTATTCTCCTTACTCCACGTCGTCCACTTACGGCTTGTTGGAATTAGAAACAACAGGCGATTATCGACGTTAGCTTTTGGACGGACTTTATGACATTCATTCTAGACTTTTAGCAAAAATTAGTAAAATTCACTATTTTTTCCCTACTGGAGT